GTGTGCAGCCTTCCCCGCTCCTACAGGCAGGAGTGGACGGACGGAAGTGGTCCACAAAGGTTTTAAAGGATGAGCATGTGCTACTAATAAATCAGGAAGAAACAGGCTGGAGTCAGGTGACAGAACATTGACTGTACGTTCCTGTCACTTGTGACCAAAAGAACTATGACGTCATTTCCAAGCAGGAACCATGCACCGGATTAAACTGGTGCTCAGAGCCTCAGAATGTCTCCTGGTGAGGCTCAGAGGGTGCCTGCTTCATGGGTACACTGACAGAACTTAGACTAATTCCTGGGCTCACTTTCTAAGTCAGAGGGAAAGAATCACTGGGTGTGGCTACACACCTTTAATCCCAGCCCTTGGGAGGCAGAGGCAGGTGGACCTCTGAATTTGAGGCCAACCAAGCCTACATATAGTGAGTTTAAGGCCAGCCAAGCCTACATATAGTGAGTTTAAGGCCAGCCAGGGTGACATAGACTAACTCAAAAATAATAATAACAATAAAAAGAAACTTCCTTTTCCCAAGATTCCTTTGTTATCCTTCTGTGTCGTAAGTTTCTAACTGTTCACTGTCCCTGATGTAACACAGGACAACTGTCTGTCCACAGTCCCTGATGTATCATGGGACAACTGTCCACTGCCCTTGATGCAGTGTGGGACAACTGTCCACAGTTCCTGATATAACATGAGACAACTGTCCACTGTCCCTGATGCAGTTTGGAATAACATGCTAAGAAGTGGGTTCTGGTTCTCTGTTTTCCTTGCATTAAGTGGCTGAGCTCCAATCCCATCCCCAGCATCTCTGGAAGTCACTCTCAGCTCTCACACATCTAAAAAGCTCTCTCCACCGTTAAGATGGAGTAAGTGAGAATGTGCTCCAATGCTGCGACCCCTTACTAAGGGTACTGCCATACCCTCCCTTCCCAGCACCACAGCCCTCACCTCTTCCCCAGATTCTCTGCTTCTTCAACAGTCTCAGGCAAAGACACGCCCTTGGTCTCTGGAAGAAGAAGAGTCATGGCCCCAGCAGTCAGGCCCAAAACCCCTACAAATGAAACAAAGTCCAAGAAGGTCTGTTAGAACAGGCCCGTGCTCCTTACAGAAGTGAGTGCAGTGAGTCAGAGGGCAGGGAGGAGATGCTGCTTATCTTTGAAAGTTATCAGGAAATTTTAGGCAAGAGCTGGAGGCTATCAAATAATTAGAGAAATCCAAGAGTAAGGCAAAGTAGTATTCATCCTCATATCGTCACTATGGAAGCACAGGATTCCAAAGTAGCTGGTATTTGAGTATTAGAGGATATTTGAAGTTGAGTGCCTCGTGAAAAATGTAAATATCAGAATTAAGTAGTTATTGTAGATAGACAGATGGCAATAGATGACAGATAAATAGATGGTAGATAAATAGAAGGATGTATGCATTGGTAGATAGCGAGGTGATAGATGATTAGACAGATAGACAGATAGATAGATAGATAGATAGATAGATAGATAGATAGATAGATACATACATACATACATACATACACACACACAGATGGATGGATGGATGGATGGATGGATGGATGGATGGATGGATGGATATACAAAGTCAGATGGTAGATAACAGATAATGAGATAGATACACAAACAGATGGTAAATGCATACACAACAGATGAAAGAAAGATAATAGAAACCTACATAGATGGTAGGCATATGCATGTATAGAGATAGAGATGACAGATACCTAGGGGCATAGTTACAGAGATAGGGATGCAGGCAGGGCTAGAGAGTAAGACCAACCTGTGCATGGATAAACCCTTCTTCTTACTCTCTCCTCCTCTCTTCCTTCCCTCTGCCATTCCTTCCTTCCTTCCTTCTCTGTCTCTTTCTAATTCTATTCTCTTTCCTCTCTTCCATTCACTCTCTAACCTCCTCCCTCCTTTGCTTTTCTCATGCACTGGTGTGTGCCAGGCCTGGCACTTCTCTTCCCACAACCAGACATTTATCCTTCTGCTGCTGGGTAAGCAGATCTTAGACCCCTCCTGCTCTTGGTTTGGGGACAGAAACAGTATTTCCATCTTTTCTCACTAGTCCAGCTTTACCAGCAAAGAAGACACAGAATGCTGTTGATTCCCATGTGTCTCTTTGTGTCCTTCCCCACTGGGCTCTCTGAGACAGGGTCTCCAGCACAGCCCTTGTAGGCCCTTGATTCTGGGGTTGTCCTCTCTTAGCTGCGATGAGTGTGCTGGGATGATGAAAGGGTGTCACTACACTCCGGAAAGAAATAATCATTCAAAACCATCATACCCCTAGCGATGACATACTCAGGACATACAAATGCATTAGAAAGTGGGAAATTATGTCAAAAGATCGTCCACCCATGCAATATGTGATGGATTGATTCTGGAGCCACAGGATGAAAATCTCTGGCCACTACATGGGAATTTCATCTTATTGGTTCCTGAAACACGAGGCAGAATGAGCCAAGGGGCAGCCCAAGCCCATGCTCCATCCTTGACACTCAGTCTACAAGCAACTGCTTGTAGAGTGCTCACACAATTGCCCTTCACCAGATGAAAAGAAGGAATAGCCCATGAAGTCTTACCAAACAAAATGAGGGGCAGGGCTTGCCAAACTTCCATCAGCCTGAACACCATGAAGGGAGTGAAGATCCCACCCAGGTCACACAGGGCAGAGCACACCATCATCCCGAGATTCCTGGGAAGACAGAGACCAGACAGATTGAATGCATGTGTCACCTTCAAGGTGTGAACGGCATCCTAGAGCAGGCACAAGATCAGCAGGGGTTGAGTGCCCAGCACCCCAAAACCATAGGAGTGAGAAGAGCTGGGTGCAAAGAAGGCAGCAGGCTAGCATGGAGATGGGTACAGACTGATCCCGGCCCAGATGGCTGTAAAAGTCTGCCTCTGGAATTGTACTCTCAGGAGCTTAGCCCTCACTCTCCCAGAGGTCAGCTCACAGCCAATGGAGATGAGAAAGCACACGTGTTCTATGACTTAAACTGTATCTGCACCCCACTCCTGTCCCAGAGCTTCGATATGTTGTCACTTGGGAAGAGAACACAGTATCTGTGTGTGGCTAAGTTTAGTAAGACCCAGATTCATACCAGGCGAAGCCTGCCATCAACACCAAAATGAGTCTGGTGTGTGTGAAGAAGACAGCTACTCAGTACAGACATCCTTGTGAATAAGAAGGGGTCTGTGTGGATCAAATACTATTTCTTTGAATCATGAGTGCTTACAGAGTAATGGGCAGCTGTCTTAGTCAGGATTTTTATTCTTGCACAAAACATCATGACCGAGAAGCAAGTTGGGGAGGAAAGGATTTATTCAGCTTACACTTCCACATTGCTGTTCATCACCAAACGAAGTCAGGACAGGAACTCACACAGGGCAGAAACCTGGAGGCAGGAGCCGATGCAGAGGCCATGGAAGAATGCTTCTTCCTGGGTTGCTCCCCTGGCTTGCTTAGCTTGCTTTCTTATAGAACCCAGGACTTCTAGTCCAGGGATGGTACCACCCACAATGGGTTGGGCCCTCTCTCCTTGATCACTAATTAAGAAAATGCCTTACCACTGGATCTCATGGAGGCATTTCCTCAAGGGAGGCTCCTTTCTCTCTGATAACACCAACTTGTGTCAAGTTGACATACAAAACCAGCCAGTACACAGCCAAAATGAATGCCTTTTGCTATACGCATTTGATTCAACTGACTATCAATACTGGAACTCGTGTGGCTGTGCACGGTTGTTCCTGGCTGTCCAGCTTCCTCTCCTACTTTCCGTGAACACTCATCATCCTATGCACAGTAGGAAGGATCATTAAGGAAGGTAGCAATAGCCGCCTCCATAGAGGACCAGGCTTGGTAACTGCTATTATTTAGGGAAGTGTTTGGATGAACCTGTGTGTTGCACAATTAGTCACTGCCTGATAAAACCATTAGGACAGCAGTTCTCAATCTGTGGGTTGTGACCCCTTTGTGATTTGTATATCAGATATCCTGCATATCAGATATCTACACTACAATCCATGACATTAGCAAAATTATAGCTATAAATCAGTAATGAGATAATTTTACGGTTGGGGGTCACCACAACATGAGGAATTGTGTTAAAGGGTCACAGCACTAGGAAGGTTGAGAACCACGGCTTTAGGAGGTATGGTCTAATTGTAAGAAGGTTGGTTATCAGGAGAATGCCTTGAAGTGGGAGATGGGGACCCCAGTCCTTTCTGGTCCTTTCTCTCTGTTTTTCTTTCTAGCCACACATTCTGCTCATAATGCTTTGTGCTATCTCAAGATCGCAAGCCCCAAGCCCACAGCAACAGGGTGAAGCAAGTGTAGGCTGAAACCTCTGAAAGAAGGAGTTAAGACAGACCTTTCCTTCTTAAAAGTTGATTACTTCAGATATTTTGTCACAGTGACACATTTGACCATTTCTTTGAATCTAGTAGCTATGACAGTAGACTTGTTTGCCTTGGTTATTTCATTTTTAGACTCAGGGCTCAAAAATACTAACATAGAAGAAGATATATATATCCATCTCTCTATCTCTCTGAGTATTTTGTTGCTTGCATGGTTTGATGTTTTGTTGATTTGATTTTTGAGACAGGTTCTCACTTTGTAACCCTGGAAAGTCTAGGAAAATGATTTCTCCTTAATTTTCCTTCATCTCCTTGTGCTTAGTCCAAGCAACTTCTTTACAAGCAAGAGTCTAAACCGTGTTCTACTAATAACGGAATTGGCAGAAGAAAGCAAAGAGTAGGCTGCCGTCATCTGTGTCTTCTGGCTCACTGAGCCACAGGCGTTAGACAAAACTAGGGAGCTGGAGTGTTTCTTAGACATTTTCACAAAAACAAATGAAGAAGAAATAGTTTATTCACAGGGAGGAGAATTTAAAGCAATAAGCAAACTTCTAACCAAGGGCAAGTTATGATAAGGGCCATTTTTTTTTACTTCAAATAAAGTAGTTGCTTTCACAATTAAAATAATCTTCACTTCATGCTAAGAGCTTAGGGCTGGAGATCAGCAGGTAAAGGTGCTTGCTGCCAAGCCCAAGAACTGAGGAAGGAGAAGGTGGAAGGAGAGAACAGCCATCTGCAAGTTGACATCTGACTTCTATACACACACACACACCCCCCCCACACACACACACACACATCCTCACATCCTCACACAAACCACACACGCGGGCACTCACATACAACACACACACACACACACACACACACATGTTTTAAATAAGTTTGTAAACTACTGGTGGCAGTGAACTCACGCACAGACCCTGGACGTCACCAGGGGCTAGGAAAAGCAGAGCGACCGTGATGCCTCTACCTCCCAGGAGGACCTCAAACTGGCCCCACTAAACACTGGCCTCCATCCCCTACATATGCCTGGAGGATGCAAAAAAGGATTGCATCTTTGTAAAAATAATTTTTATAAATATAAAATTAAACACAGTCCAGTGCTGGTAGTGCATGCCTTTAATCCCAACACTTGGGAGGCAGAGGCAAGTGGATCTCTGAGTTCGAGGCCAGCCTGGTCTACAGAAAAAGTTCACAGAGAAACCCTGTCTTGAAAATAAAATAAAATAAAATAAAATAAAATAAAATAAAATAAAATAAAATAAAATAAAACACATGGTCATCTAACTCTGACCCTCCAATCCCACTCCTGTGCTCCCCCGATTCAAACACTTGTCCATTCAAAGGCTGCAGGATGTTGATGGTAGCTGACCTGTTATCCTATGTGGGCAGCTAGGATGGAGAAGCAGGTACAAGGACACTCACATTCTAGAATACTTTTCAGGAAAGAACAAGGCATTGATAAATGCAGTAAGGTGAATACAGCCCATCACAATCAGTGACAGAAGTCAAACACAGGTCTACATGTCATGGCCTTTCATTTGCTGACGATCTGGAGAAGGCAAAACTACGCAAACACAGCCAGGCATTGAAGAGTAATACACGTAAACATATATGTGCGTATGACCCACACGTCACCCAAAGTCACGCAGCTGTATTTTAGAAAAGGCCAATTTCACTCTATGAATCTGAGACTTTAAGGAGAAAGAGAGTTCTTCAATACCAAAGCAGGACAACAAGAGTAAAAAAGATGTTGGACTATGTGAAAATGTAACACGTGAGCTCATCAGGGCAGCAGTCCACAGAGTGGCAACCTCCTGAGTGGACGGTGATTACATTCAAGTCCAGTGTCTGATGAGGGCCTGATATGCAGAATATATAAAAAACCACAACCCAACAACAGCAAAGATGGCCCAATAACGGAAATTACCTCACTAGTCATCTCTCTACAAACAAGAGACTGAGTCACTAGGAGCGGGCCTTGGTTTTATAGTCTGACCTCCCTTCCTGTTTACTACTTCCTGGCTGCCAAGGCAGAGTGACCAGCTAGCCTCCCACGCTGACAAACGATGTTTTCCCCACCATGATAAACTGTACTTCTTTGAACTGTGAGCCAGAATAGATGTTTCCTTCCTTAAGTTGCTTTGGTCAAGTATTCTGTCTCAGCAAAGAAAGGAACTAATATAGTGACCCACGCTTGGAGGCTTCTTACAGAAACACCTTGGAAATGTTGCTCTCTGCCTGGCTATCAGGTGGCTATTTCAGTGTCCAACCCCGTTTGTCGCCTCACCTGATGAAGGTAGGGTACAGCTCAGCATTCACCAGGCAGACCATCTGAAGCACGATGGTAGCTCCCATACGGCCAAGACAAGCAAGGGTAACATTCAACCAATGCAGCTCTAGGAAAAAACAAGAAGGTCGTTGAAGCAAAGAAACTCCCTGAATGAACTGGAGCTGACAGAGGAGAAGCCTGACTGAACTGGCCTGGGCTAGTTAGGACCACTGAAAGCTTCACTTGGCTATATTTTCACTTAGATAAGTAAAAAGATGTCCAGGTGACCTGGGGACTTGCTAATGACAGATCCTGGAAGGTTCCATCGTGCAGAAGAAAGACTGAAGTGTTTAAATCAGTTCTGCCTCCACCAGCCAAGCTGAACAGAAATGAGCTAAGTCTTTCTCTGTGCCTCAGCTTGCTGAGCCCCCGTGGAGTGAACCTACAGAGTTTGCAGGTAGTGTGAGAGGCAGGGATGACACAAATACCCAGTCTGGCCACATCGATGAAATCCTGGCTTGTAGTTATTACACGGGAAGATGTTGCTAGCTCAGTACCTGAGGCACAGTCGGTGTGGTGTAAACATAGCCCTTGAACTAAGCCTCAACCTAGTCTTCATTTCCAAGCAAAGAATGGGAGGTTTTGCATAGGCAGGGAGGGTATTGCGACTCATCATGCACTGCTTGGCCTGCCTTGCCACCAAAGCTCAAGCACCCATGGCTCTGACCCAAGTCCCCTAAAGTCTCTGTATTTACACACATGTCATCTTGGCCTTGTCCCCAGACACTGACTTCACTGGTACCTCTCAAAGAGAATGGAGATTTCTTGCCCATCGACACAACATGATCCCGGCTCCACTGCTCTGCCCATGGAAGGTCCACACCAATAAGGCCACGGGGACATGCTGGTATCCCTGCCCTCAGAGTACAGATAACTCTGTACTTCAGTCTGGGGCAGCCAAGGATCCACATACACTGATGTTTAGCTAAGTCACTCCTGCTAAAGCCACCAGCGTTTTGCTCCCACTATTGGGCTACAGTTGCTGTCTCCAGTGAACTCTGGGCCTCATACCACCTGTTCCCTGAAATGTCCAACATTAGGTGCTTGGATGTGAACTGTTTCTTTAAGGCCAAGCTCTTCCCTCTGAAGTCTGCAGCCCGGTCCTAGACTCCCACATGGACCTTCCCATTCTGCTTAGGTTCATCAAGGTCCCCTGGTCCCAATGGAATCAATACTCATCCTTCCTCACCCTTCTCTGGGAGTCAGCCCACAGCAGGAGCCTACTCTATTCTTTTTACTGATGAGGCCCTAGAACTCATCTAGAAATGTCCTAAGATGCTTTATAGAGGCCAAAAAGGACCACCACAGCAGGTGAACCTAGGAGAGAGCCAGTGGAGGTGCTAAGGCCAAGAGAAACCTGAGACCAGCAATGCCCTAGTTCGGACCATCAGGGAAGAATAGCCTCCACCTTCTGCACTCCTCTTCCAGGCTTCAATACTATGCAGTTTAAAAATCTTAGTTGGAATTCTAGGAATAAGGAAATGAGAGAGAAGAGAGGAAGCCTTATTTCAGAGGCACTACAGAGACTTCCCTTCATACACCACACACACACACACACACACACACACACACACACATACACACACACACACACACACACACAACTTTCATGTCCTGACCAGGATGACTCTTGAGAAAATCTGAGATGTTCGGATCTTTTCCATAACTCCCTGCATGAGAGAGAGCCAAAGTGACTCACCAGGCTCACAGTGCAGGACCCAGCAAGTAAAGGGTGTGGGGAGGAGGGATAGCAGCTCTGCCTTCACAGGGATCTACAGCTTCCAACATGAAAGGCAATGTATGTGCTCAAATTAAAGCTACCTCAAGTAACGTTGCCTGGACCCTCTGTGCAGCGTGTTTGTCCTGGGTTGTAAGAATTATGAAGCAGTGCTCACATCCGTCACTTGACCGCCATTGGAGACTTGCAGGATGAAGAGCTACAGAGGGTGTGGGACAACTGGAACACTCCCATGTAGTGGGAGTGGGGAGGAAGCAAACAGTGGCCTGGCCATCTTTAGAAAGCTCTCAAGTGTCCTCTGAAGCTAAACTGTGAATTCTGCTCACAAACATGTCCCCAAGGGAACAAAGGACCCACATCTACCAAGAAGGAATACGTAACACAGTTCTACTCCCAGTGGACAAACAGGACAAGCAATAATCAGTTGATCAGTGGGGGAGACCACACAGTATGATGTTTATATAAAGAGCGATACAATATTTTAAAAACCAGTCTATACAGTCATGTGACAGCATAGAGAAGCCTCTCCAGTGTAGTGGATATAGGCAGCAGGGGATGGGCACACTCGAAGCGGCTCCACTTATGCTCCTGGACTAATCTGTGGCAAGAGGTCAGGAAAGGTGGTTGTCAGATCAATGGTATTGATCATGAGGTGTGCAACCCAGATATCTGAATGTTTAACAAATTGAGTCATTGATTCACTTAGAACGTGCTCGTTATATGTTTGCTATACCTCAATCTAAAACTGTTTCAAGTCTAGCCAAGGTCACACCCTGCTTTTGTTCTTGTTCCAGAAGCTTATCAGAGAGTTACGACACTGTCCTCACAATTCGGTCACCTGGGAAGCGACAAAAACAGACAACTTACCATGTGGGATAAAGATCATGAGGAGGCAGGCTGCCCCCGTCACCAGATTTGATACCGCTATTGGGTAGATGCGGCCAATTCGGTCAATGGTGACAAGAATGATGACGGCCGCAGGGAATTCCACCAGAGAAGAATAAAAGAAGTCCAGGTAGATGTTGGCCGCTGTGGCCCCCACGTGCATGATGAGGCCCTGGTACAGCACGGCACAAGAGAACCTGCAAAGAGACCACAAGTCACAAGCAGCTCCAAAGAACCCAGCCAGCTGGACTAGACAGGTCGCATGGTACAAGACGCCCTGAAGTAACATGAAGAGTACCCTACTGGGAGCCTTGATAGAAAATTGTGTCCCCACAGATGTGACAGTATGTCACACAGCCATCCCCAATACACCTACTTTTAAAACTCCCCCCCCCAAATCGCTGAAACAGGAAGACAGGGAGAGATTGCAGCTGGATACTCCTACTTGCTTCAAGTTCAGGTGTTTGTGACTTTACTGAGCCCCACACAGAGTGATCTCTAACACTCATGCCTGCCACAGAGTAGAGAGCAGGTGCAGGCAACAAGCAAGCACACAGGACCTGGCAACAGGTTGCATTGTATACTTTGTATACTTTGTATAACTTCTCGTCTGTGAGTGGGATAGTAATGGCATATAGGATTTTGCTCTGTTGTGAATATTTACTGAGATAATAGACAAATGAGACGAGTATAGCTCCTGTCACACAGCAAAGGTAGGTGTAATCCTATGGCCATCAGTACCATCCTTCCAAAGTCAAAGATCCTGGGTTAGCTAGGTCTCTGGCTTCACAGAGCTGATTCATCAGGCACTGTTTATGTTCTCTCTTCTCCGACCACACCAACCCCATCCACATTCGAGGAAATCCTGCCTACATCATGTTGCCTATGTCAATGAAGACTTAAACCAGCTGCTGAAGTCCAAACTCAGAAAGACCTGTGTGTCATTAAGGGGAAGTAATACTATTATAACTGTCACCATTGCATACAACTTGGCCTTGCATGGTAAGATTTTTAATCCTTAAGAAACTACTGTTTTATCCCAGCATGAAGAATGGCTTTCAGCCTCGCACCATGACAGGTAAGAAAAAAAACTGTATAACTGGTCAAGCGGTCAGTGAATAAGTGCTGCCATCTTTTGGCAGAACCTGGAATTGCACATATATTAAAACGCTTTACACAGATTGCTTCCAGATGCCTGTGAGCTAGGTAGGCATGCTATTATTTATTTCTCACACTACCCATGAGTTCCTTGTGTCACAGACTGGTACACTCATATGGTCACATGACCAAGATGTCGAAGCAGCCCCTTGGGTTGCAGTATTAAAGAAGAAGGTGTGGACTAGGGAGACGGCTCCACTGCTAACGTGCTTTCTGTACAAGATGAATTCAGAGACTCAGCACCATTGTCAAAAGCCAGTGTGCCGGTGCATTCTGCAACCTCAGAGCTGGGGAAGCACAAACCAGCCAGACAGTCTAGATGAATTGTCAAGCTCCGGGTTCAGTGAGAGACTTTGCCTCAAAAAAATAAGGTGAGGAATGATAGAAGATATCTAGTATTGACCCTGAGCCTTATAGTCACAGACAGACAGGCAGGCAGGCAGGCAGACAGACAGACAGACAGACAGACAGACACTAAGCAGGTAGAGAGGATGGAAGAGAGATGTGGGGGTCATCCTGGGTCTGAGCCACAGGAGGCCAAATAGGTCCCAAGAAGGAATGCAGCTCCATTCCTGATGGGTTCAGAAGCCAATGAAAAGCACAGGAAACTAAGAAAGCATAGCTGCCTTGCCGTGTGCAGTCCCAGGGAGGTGGGTGGATGCCGGCTGCCGTGGATCACGAGATAGCCCTTCTCAAGGTTCCTTGTGTAATAGAAAGTATGCACACACGAGAAACGGCAGATCCTGATGCACTCTGGAGGCCAAGTTTATACAGAGCTCGTTGAGGGGCCATGTGACAGGAGCGAGGAAATGGAGCCATCTTCCTGGGGGGAGTGTGTTTGGGATGCAGATGGGAAGGACAGCAGAGCAAGCCACTGTTCCTCTCTGCAGTGGGTCACAGGGGCTACATGGATGAGACACACTCTTGAGTCAAACATAGAATAGTCAAGTGAACAGCTGTAACACCCATGGCTGGACATGGGACCCCAGTAAGAGAGATAAAGGACGCCAAGGAGTGGAAGAGTGGGGAGCCCGGTGTCTAAAAAGACCAGAGGAATCCATGAAACAATGATTACTCATTTACCAAACATTTACCACAAGCCTACTATGTGCCAGGTAATACCCTACTAGCTTGCCTCTTTGTTCCACTAAAACATGACACAGAAAAGCAAACAGGGGTGCAGAGCAGTTGTTGTGTAAGAAAGGAGGCCCAGAGCCCGGCAGCTTGGCCTTAGTCACTAAGAGAGTAGCTTAAGACTCAGTGTGTTTTGGGAAGACAGCCATGTATTAAGAACTGTCTGATGTCCTGGGGTAATGGGTAGAATTCTAGAATTTCTTCCTCGTGAAAACAGGTAGGAGCCCACAAACTGCCCCTAGCAGGCATAAGAAAAAGTATATCTGCATACTACAAGGTCCTTACCCATGAACCAAGGGTGCACAAGGACCCAGAAGTGGACCACACAGTTCTCAGATGTGGGGAGGGGCACATAAAGGCACGAAGAAGCTATTGAAGTCTTCCCTATCCCACATCATGTCAAGATTCAACTGGCCCAAAAAAATAAGATACTTAGACTGGGGTAGCCTCAGACATTCTTTGTGCTTCTTCGCCTTTTTTCAGTGTTAGTCTCTCCCATTCTTAAAAACCGGGGAGCAAAAAGGCCTTTGGAAGACCCTAGGACTGTGCTCAGCTCCTCTCTGCGCAAGAGCTCATTGGTACCCAGCATTTGGAGAATAGCAGACCAGCCCCAGGGGATGTGTAGGAAAGATGCTCACCATAGATACATCAGGATGAAGGTGTGCTTCCTCAGGTTGGGAGTGCGGAACAGGTCGAAAAACGAAGGACTCAGTTTTTCTGAGGCATCCTCCTCAAGGCAGAGCATCTGGGAGAGACTCAGGCATCACCACACCTGGTCTGTATGCCCATGACAGTCCCCAGAGACGGGACCCATGTAGATCATGCCCCAACCCCACCAAGAGGAGAACCCCGTCTGAACTTGAGTACCTTCAGGTCAGCAGGGGGCACCTTCCCGTTCTTCTGTGCAATCTGTTCCATTATCCTTATTGCTTGAGTGGTTCTCTTCTGGGACAACAACCACCGGGGGGATTCTGGGACAAACCTGCAGACATAGCACATAAACTGCACTTTCCCTGAGACGTCGCCCCACCTAACCCTTGACAAGAGTGGTCCGGCACATAGCTCGGAGCAGCTCAAGATCCTCAAGGGAGACTGTGATTCCCCAAGATGCTTGTGAACAGAGGCCTCTGCTGTGGAGTGCAGTTGTGTAGCCCATGCATGTCCTCTGTAGGTTGCTGCTGCTTGGATCCACTGGCTAAGATTCACAAAACAGAAGGGAGAGGGGTTCCCCCTCACCCCTATCCCCTGCAGCCTTCTTTTTGTGAAGTGGGGTCCCATCTCTCTTAGAAGTTGGGAGTCCTCTTCCAGAGAAAACACACTGAATAGGAGCTTTACATACCCTGCCCTGAATACATAATGCATACAGTGGGGCAGCTGGACCATGCCCATTGTCCCAAACAGAAGATTCACCTGCCACGAGATTAGATGGATAACATGCTATTTCTTTCTTTCTCCCCTCATGTTTATTTTTCTTTTCCTGTTTTGGTTTTGAAACAGAATCTTACTGCTTCTGAGTTTTAGGCTAAGAGCATGTGGACATTCATCTCTTTACTCATAAGCTCTCTTAACTAAGACCAAGTGCCTGCTGTGAAACTAGACAGGCAGGGGCGAGCCTGGTTAACAGAGACATCGTGAAACATGAAGTGGGACCGGAAGGGGGTGGGGGCGGGGGCAGGGGCAGGGGGTAGAGAGAGAAAGCAGGTGACAAAGAGAGATGACCTGACTTAAAGCAGTGCTACTCAAGGGGCTCTGGGGACTGCAGGATGTAGCAGCTATGACCGTAACGAATCCTTTTGTCTGTCATCTCTGTGCTAGATAGTTCATGAAGACTATCTCCAAGGTTTCCCAGGCCCTCTGGGTAGCACAGTTAGATACTGATCCAGGGCTGACTCCCTGAGGCCTGTCTCCCTGTGGTTGGCTTGGCCTTGTGCTTCTAGAAGAAGGTACACACCCTTTGAGATAGGCAGGCTGCCTTCGGGCTTCCCTGTGGTGGCATCCCTCTTGTATCTGAGGGTAGGGTGCTCTGTGTAAGGATTGCAGCCAGCACTGTAAGGAGCCCTGGGCACATCATAAGAATGAGATGAATAGCTATGACAGAGGACGACTGTGTAGGAGTGATAATGCAGAGTCATGCCTCTTGGAAGGTGGCCTGTGTAGTGGCAGAGGTCAGCACACAGCCTTCTGTGACCCCAGAGCCCAGCCCTGCAAGCAGACACAGCACAGAGCAGAAAGGTCATGCAGAGCGAGTCACCTAGTCTCTAGCAGGGGAAGCATTACCAGTAATACAGCAGGAAGAAGAAGGTAGGCAGGGACACCGCCAGCTGGAGCCAGCGCCAGTTTGGAATGGCGTAGGCCACCCCGGCAAGCACCACTAGCCCCACTGTGAAGGCCATCTGGTACAAGATGGCTGTCGTTCTCCTGTAGCTGGAGCCAACAAACTCTGTGACTGAAAAAGAAATGGTGGTCAAAAGGCGTCCCCAGAGAAGAAAGACAGGCTTCACCTCACCCACCTCTGCTCCTGTCTGTCATTTTCTCCTTCCCATAAAAGTCTGCATTGCTGGCCTCTATCAGGCCTGATGCCACTTAGCCTGGGCTCCCAGGTTTACCAGGCCAGTTTATTGTTAGGTTTTTCTCTTGCTGCCTCTCTTATTGAATTCTTGTTATTTATGTCTCCCCTGCTGCACTTCAAGGCTTGAGCTTCTCCTTCCCAAATATTCGTAGAAACTCCGAGCTGAGATAGAAAATTCTCTTACAGTTCTGGCTCATAACTCTACAAGCCCCTTAGCATGCCTTTTGGGAACCAGGCTCTGCTCTGGGCGTTGGAAGGCAAGTGGAGTCTCTTGTTCCCAGGCTGAGGGCACTCTCCCACCCAATGGGAGATAGATAATGGGAACAGAACCCTTGCTGACTCCCATACAAAGACATGGGATGGCAAGGGAGGGTAATTGGTGGCTCCGAGGCAGAGGGACTGCCATTTTACACAGGATCAGTAGGTAGTGAGTGGATGAAACACAGCCAGAGGGGAGGGGAGTAATTTAGCCTCACAGACACTGTAGGAGTGTAAACTGGTGGCCAGGATGCGGTAATTGTCTGGTGAAGGGACTGTGTGGAGAACCAGGTGATGGAGAGAGTCGGGTGCAAAGGCAGAGGAGTAAGGCAGAGTTAGGGGTCAACAGGAAATCCTGGGGCTTGCAGGGCACTAGGAGAACCTCACTCTCGGTCGGTGTGGTGCTGTAGACTGCAGAGAGCTACAAGGACTTTATGTTCACAAAGGCTCCCTGTGTTAAGGAGTTGAGAACTGAATACATGTACGCAGCTGGGAGGTATCCATGGAGATGAGGCAATGGTGGGGTGAGGACCAGTCAAGGGTGGGGAACGAGGAGGTTCCTATGGGCATATTTCAAAACAAAAGCCAGTAACAAGATTCACTGTAGGAATATGGGGATACAAGGTGGTAGTGGTGGTGGTGGTGGTGGTGGTGGTGGTGATGGTGGTGGTGATGGTGGTGGTGGTGATGGTGGTGGTGGTGGTGGTGGTGGTGATGGTGGTGGTGGTGGTGGTGATGGTGGTGATGGTGGTGGTGGTGGTGGTGGTGGTGGTGGTGGTGGTGGTAGTGGTAGTGGTGGAATCATGGGGTGTGTGGCCTGAGCAGCTGGCAGGAGACTGGTGTGTGTCACTAAGGAAGGTCCACAGATGAACTGGCTTGGAGTTGCAGGAGTGCAATGTCCTGAGGTCCTGCTGTTAAGTAGTCTAGAAAGGAGACTGAGGAAAAGCCACCAGTGAACAAGAGGGGATGGATCAGAGTGCCATGGAGCCAACAGAAGCATCAGGGGACAGAGATCTTCTGAGACTCCTACCATATCCAGCTAAATCCACTTTGGCATCTGTCTGTAGGCCCCTCTCTAGCCTTGAGAACCAAGGGGGCAGAGGGACATCTTATCTACCTCAGTGCTCCATCCCCTCCCACTGTGCCTACAGGCAGCGCCAGCAATGTTCACAGAGGAGGTTACATCCCTGGCACTGCTCCAGGCCAGCTGGATACCCAGAAACACACCTACTTCTCAAAACAACCCACAGGGTGATAGTGACACTATTATCTGCATTTCTAAGATACTAAGGCACAGAGGGACGATGTGTCCTGCCCCAAATCCTACAGCTTCTCAGACCTGGAATGTAGGTTCGTCCCCAAGTTGCCCTTCTTAACCTATTGCTCATCATCAACATACAGGTGTCCTGGGCTAACCTGCACTACCTCCTTTTGTTTCCGTATCTGGCTATCTCATGTCCTCCTAGGTTTTTATCAAGTCAGTTATATCTGTAGCCTGGCTTGGATTGTTGTTGTTGTTGTTATTGTTGTTGTTGTTGTTGGCAGGGGGTGGTTGTTAGTTCTCTCTACAACATTAAAATAGTCTTCTACCTACTTCATTTCCTGCACACTCCTTACCAAATATGACAAATGAGAGAAAGGGATCTCATATCTATATATTAACGGACCTAGTTCTCTCTCTCTCTCTCTCTCTCTCTCTCTCTCTCTCTCTCTCTCTCTCTCTCTCTCTCTTCCTTTTCTAGACCCCACAAACATCCCTTGTTCCCCAAACCTCCACATGCACATTTGACTCACCCCCAATGATGTACCCCACTACTACCTCATCCCCGTCTGTCATGGACCCAGGGACCCCCACCCCCCAGCCCTTGCATAATTACTCAAGGTGTAGCCGGACACCCAGCTGCCCTTGCTGACCATGCCCTGCAGCAGCCGGAAGAGCAGCATGGATGTATAGTCTGGGGCCACCGCTGTTAACACGCCGGATAGGGAGGTGACCAGAGTGGTTGCCAGGAGGCAGAGCTTACGGCCAAACCTGCAGAGACAAAGAGGTATGTGGAAGGAATTAAGAAGCCAGGGTCAAGCATGCGTATAGCCCCTTGCCTACCTGATAGCCGTCTTGTCCAGTTAAACACATTTTTAAACTCCACATGTCTACGTTAGAATGATCTACCCCTGGCATAAGCCCAGGCCCACAAAGAGCTCAGACTTGGCTGCTTGCAAATTCAAACGCCCCTTGTCCACCTCCCAGCTCAAAGCATAACATTTCGTTTCTCTCAGCCCCACTCCTCTGTCCAGTCTGCATGCCCCTTGCACAGCCTCTCTGCAGACAGTCCCAGCAGCCTAAAGCTCCAACTGTCACATCTTGTCTGCACCGCCCTCCACAGTAGATCCTGGCCAGCCACACCCCTCACCCCTGTCCACTCTCCAAAGCCTGGCTCAAGTGGACTGCCTTCACATACCTGTCTGCAATGTAACCCACAACCAGGGAGCCCAGGAAGAAGCCCAAGTTCACACAGGACTGAAAAAGGTCCACTTTCCAGGCGTCTCCACACACCAGGTTAAACTGAAGCAGCGGAGAGAGAACACAACTGAGAATCATGGGAAAGCCCACTCCCATCCTCCACCAGACTGCCCCATGGAAGTTCACGTCCCCAGGTGGGATCAGTTGTGTCTAAAACATCAGCATAGGCCTAGCACCGTGCCCAGCTTCTTCCCAAAACCTTTGCGTCTGTGAAGACAGCTGCTGTTGGCTTTGCCATTAGTAGTTGGCCATGATTGGACAAAACATCATTCTAAAAAGAGCAAGAATAGATAAACACGCTCAGAGGAGTTGGGGCTGCCAGGATAGCTCTCCATAGGGAAATACAACCAAGGTCCACGGAGATGGCTCAGGGGGCAAAGTGTACAAGTGTGAAGACCAGAGTTCAGATCCCCAGCACCTACGTAAAGAGCTGAGTACAGCAGTCTATGTCTGTAGCCATAATGCTGGGCAGAGGAGATGAGCGGTTCCCAGGGACTGAGCAGCCAGGCTAGCTAAAATACAGAGCTCTACAGAGGCAGACCCCACCTCACAAAATAAGATGAAAGGCACTAGAGGAAGACACTCACGGTCAACCTCTAGGCTCCATAGGCAAACACCTATGTGCACACACACACACACACACACACACACAGAGCGCACAAAGAAACAGCCACGTGCAAAGACATGTAACAAAGGAACTACAAAGCCAGGCATGGTGGCCCATGCCTGTGATACTAGTGTAAACAGGAAAGTAGAGACAGGAAGATCAGAAGTTCAAGGTTATTCTCAGCTACAAAGTAAGTTCAAGGCTGGTCTGGGCTCTGTAAGACCCTATGTCAAAAAGAAAAAAAAAAAGGCTTGTTTGTCAGAGCATGTAGCTATTATATACGTAACTGAACTCTAGTACTAAGGTAGCAATAAATCAGAAGGGGTCAGACCGAGGCAAGACACAGGGAGCCAGCTTCATGGGGTAGAGTGTGAGAGGTAGGGGAGTCCTGCACGTGAAGAGCTAGGGGAAGAATTAAGGGACAAAGGACAGCCCTAGATGTGCACCTCTGTTTAGAGGCCTGGAGTGAGACAGGCTGGGGAAGGGCCCTCCTAGCCTGTGGTAATTCTCCTGCAGGCTTTACAACAGGCAGGGAAAACAAACAGTCAGTGTGAGATGAAAATGAAACCCAGTTGTTGGGGGACCCACATGAAGACTGAGCTGCCCATCTGCTACATATGCGGGGGGCTGCGGGGTGGGGGAGTCATGCTCAGTCTAGCCCGTGTAAGCTCTTTGCTTGATTCTGTCTCTGAGAGCTCCCAGGGATCCAGGTTACTCGACTCTGTTGGTCTTCCTGTGAAGTTCCTATCCCCTTCCAGGGCCCTCAGTTCTTCCCCCAACTCTTCCATAGGGGCTGTCCCTAAATCTGTTTCCTGTCTGTGGAATCCAGTCCCCTAACTGGGCTGCCTCAGTGGGAGAGGATGTGCCTAGCCTAGCCCTTCAGAGACTTGAGGTGCCAGGGTTAGGGGATACCGGGGGTGGGGGGTCCCCCCACCCTCTCAGAGGATAAGAGGAAGGGGGGAAGGAGGGACTGTGTGAGGGGGGACCGAGAGGGGGGGCAGTGATCAGATGTAAAATGAATAAATAAATTAACCGGGCTAAAGGGGAAAAAGAATAAAAAAATTAAATTTATCCTGATTTTATTGTAACCTTTTTTTTTTTAAAAAAAAAAAAAAAAAAAAAAAAAGGTATTCAGATAACAATTAACTCAGTTCCATGAGCACAACAATTTACGACATGTTTACACTGAGATTCTTTATGAAGTACATCTGGTTTCTTTCACAAGAAGGGGTAATGTTGACTCAGAGATAGTGCCCAAGATTTAGGGTCTAGGGAGCTTGACTAAGGTAAACAAAACGCCTGGAGGGGTCCAGATTGTCTGGGCCCAGAGATAACACAGAGTCACTTAGGCTTCAGTAAACACAAGTGACATCACTCACCAGAATGGGTTTTACGGCCTAAAAGCAGTTAATAGCGATTTAAGGGAAAAGGTTCTGGGATAAGTAAAAACAAGACTTCTGGAAGACACAAGCAGGGCCTTTCTCATCAGACATCAAAGGATCACCAACTCGTAAAACCATATCTTTCCTGGCATTCCAGGAAGAGCAGCTGGGCACCCCACACCCCCCATTGAAGAGCTCAGTTGTGTGTTTAACTTTCCTGGCTTCTCTGGTGCTTATCTGTGTGCACAAGGCCTTCTTTTGCCCTCTACACTGGCCCAAAGCACAGGGTGACAGGGCACGTTCTGAGCAGAGCTTGGACCTGTGCACAGCCAGCTCACTTTCTTTTCAGAGCTGAGGGAAACAGACTGGTCAGACTCCAGGACACTGGGCATTAGTGCTGAATGGGGCCTCTTGCCTTCCCTAGGGTTGGCACAGCTCTTCCTACCCTCCTGTCCTCTCTGTCCCTCTGCCGCGTGCTGTGGAGCCGAGGCTCGAGCAGCCTGGAGCAACACTTGAGGTATGAGAGCAACAGATTGGATTGCTAAGCAGCCTGAGGCCCCAGTTCCCCAGTGGAAGGCATTCATGCTGTGTCCCTCCTGGGGTGCTGTGAGCTCTGTGGGTAGGAAACTGGTAAATGATGAACCATTTTAATTAAATGCTAAGATCTTAGTAGCTCCTCCGTTGATTCTAAAGTTGGCCTGTGAACTACGCCCTTGTCCTACCACAGGATCAAACACTTCAAGTCTTAGAGACACTGCATTCAACTGGCTGAGGTCTCTATGACTGGCCTGTGTATTCTTTGACACAACCTCTTGTTTTTCTGAACGATACATTGCCACTCAACACCAGGAAGTAGTAGCAACCTTGCCTCCCCCCCCCCAACCTGTGCCCAGACCCTGCTATCTGTCACTCTGGGGGGTGATAAGCCCTTGAACAGCGTCACTTGGATTCTCTCTGCCTATCCCAGTCTAACACACACCTTCACGGGGTGCATGTCTCACAGACCCACTCAACATGTCCTTCTGAGGCCCCAAATTCTCCAGGTTTCCTCTTTGTCCTGTGTTCTGCCAATAGGACACACTGGGTGTGCTAGACAGTCCTGGGTGTCCTGGACCCTAGATGTTCATCCATACAATTGTCCCATGACAATGTTCTGTCTGTCACTAAAGCCAACAGGGCACAGAAACCTGTGGGACTGCTGCCCTTTGGCCCCAGTATTATCCCTTCTTGACCATTGTTAGTTTTCAATCTGATCTTTGCAAGTTACCATTACTATAGGATGTTCTATCCCCTTCCTCAAAGGTAGAGGTGGCCACTCTACCCTTGGACTGCGTGTGGCTCCAAAGAGATGCCACAGCCAGAGGAAGCCTGCCTGTCTTGACTCAGTCTCACCCCACAATGCCACCACTCCCTGAAAACCAACACTTCCCCCAAGCCTTGTTCAGTATCAACATCTAGAGCCCCTGCTCCTAACTCCACCCATCCACCGTAGCCTAGACACATCTGTGCCCCTACAGTGAGGCCAGGCCTACACAGAAGGTAAGGATAGAGGGGATGGGGGTTCCCAGGCCTGTCTGGTGCAACCCCAGGCTAGGCGGCTTTTCCAATGTACAAAACAAACTCCACAGTTTGCCTTGTCAGAGTCACCCGGGACCCCTGTTCAAACACCCATCTTCTGTAGGTTCTACCTCAGGGGATCACAACTGCAAGTAAGTTTGGGAAGTACCAACGTGGCCGCCTAAGCTCACCTCTGTCCAAAGGCTGTTCTCTATTGCTCAATGCCTACAACTGGTGGGGCCCGTGGCTCTCTCTAGCCTGCTATGTGGGCTGAGGTGAAGCCAGGGAATCACAGAGCACAGAAGGGCGGCAAAAGTTAAGGAACATCTAATTCCTTCCCCCAGGGAGCCTTATGATCTCAATCCCTCAGTCTTGGGGTGGGACCTAAACAAAGGTCATTTGTCTTCCTTCCTAAAGCAAGTTCCAACGTCCAAGGCAACGAGTTAAAAATTAGTTCTGCAGAAATGAGTAACTACACTTAGTTTCCGAACTCTCTGCTTTGGGATAAGAAGTAAAGGGAGGGGAGTTGGAAAGCAGTTGGAAGGGAAAAACAAATAGGAGGTAGTACCTGTCCAGACCAGTCTCCACTGACCTCCTGCTTTGCCTTACATGTACGTGTGTCGCCTGTGTGCCCATGTGTGTGCGTGTGCATGCTTGCACACAGAGGCCAGAGGTGACCGTTGTCTTCCTCTATCAGTTTCCACCTCATTTTTCTTTGTGTGTGTGAAACGTGTTTATGTGTGTATGCTGTGTATGTGTCTAGGTGTGTAGCTGTGTGCATGGTGTGTGTGTACATGTGTGAGACTACGGGTATGCACGTGCCATGGTATACATGTGGAGGTCATAGGGCAATCTTGAGTGCTAGTCTTACCCTCCCTCCACCTTGTTTAAGATAGTCTCTTTTTTAAAATTTTTTCCGTGTGTGTGTGTGTGTGTGTGTGTGTGTGTGTGCATACATGGGTATGTACATCAGAGGACAATTTTCAGGAGTTGTTTTTCTCCTTCAGTTCCAGGGACTGAACTCAGGCGGTCAGGCTTGGTGGCAAGGACCTTTACCAGCTGAGCCATCTCACCAACCCTTTGTTGGTTTGCCATTATGTGCACCAGGCTAGCCGGCCCACAAGGTTTGAGGGGCTTTGTTCTTCCCATCTCACTGGAGGAGCAATGAGGGTCACAGCTATGTGCTACCACAGCTGGCTTTTTTTTAAAACAGGCATTCTGGATGTCTGAACGCAGATCCTGCGTGTACATGGTGGGTCCTGTGATTACACAGTAAAGCACTTCACCAAACGAGCCACTTCCCAGCCCTCATATCTGTGTTTCTTATTACCCTTGAATGTTTCCAGATGGATACACTTGGCTTTCAAACTCAGCCCAGCACAGTGCTCTTTCCTCCAAAGCCAGGCCCTCACTGGCCCTCCATATACCACCCCATAAGTCAGCATATCACCAAGCTCAAGCCTTCCTGTGTGTGGACAGTCAAGTCTTCCAAAGACACTTCCTGTCCTCTTCAAGCTCTCCACCCCACCCCTACCCCAACCTTACACAGAACCACCTCCACCCACCAAGGTGTCCACGCCCTCTGGCCTCCATCCCTGTGCCCCGGTTTCCTATCCCACTCCCCTAAGCCAGAACCCTTTAATTAGACATGACCCGGAAATCCCATGAAGCACCTGGACCTCTTACATCCTGTCTTTCTGTCCCACAACATCTGTGTTGAATGTTGTTTCTCAAATCACTTTAGTTTTTTATCTTTTTGTGGGTTTGTTCTGTTTTTTAAAGATAGAATCTCATATCACCCAGACTGGGCTAATGAACAATGAGGTTGCAGATAGCATATGATATTTTCTTCTGATAATTGATGTTGGAAATACAAATATTACTTTAAGTTACATAATATATAATATAATTTTATTACATAGTTTTATTGCACAACAATTATTACACTACATCCCTTGGAGTATTTTTATTTATATAATATGTATAATATATGGTATATATTAAGAGACGTTATCCAGCTATGACAGTTCATACCTTAATTCCCAAGAGGGGTCATTGTGAGTTTGAGGCCAGCCTGTGCTACATAGAAACAGTTGTTGTCTATCTCAACTTCAGCTGGGCATGCTCTATTTCACAGCAACCCTACCCTACTCCCCAATGTAAATGGTCTTGTTTAGTCAGAGGGACAGTCTCATCTAAGCCTGGTGGGTGGCTCTGAATCAAGTTGGTGATAGGGTTGAAGACTTCACAAAAGGTGGGAGGTGACAAGGTGACCAAGAAAGAACTCAGGTGGGCCTGAGGGATGTAACTCAACTGGTAGAGCATTTGCCTAGCATACAGGAGGTCCTGGGTTCCAGTCCCAGGACCGCATAAACTATGAGGTGGTACACAAACACCTGTAATCTGAGCATTCAGGAAGTAGAGACAGGAAGCTCACAAGTTCAAGGTCCTCTTTGACTATGTGGTGCATTGGAGACTAGTCTGAACCCAAGCAAAGGGTATCCTGAGACCAAGCAGACAGTGTTGGTCGGCTCTTACATCTTCCAGCAGAGCATCCCTGCAAGGTAAGCCATCTTAACTCAGTGTCTGTCACTGGAAGAAGCCTGAGAGCCGATGTCTTATAAATCAAGGTGTCTAGCATTCATTCTGTGGGTAACCAGAAGCTGAGCACGCCAGGGGGAAGAGATACTGGGCTTCCTCCCTGCTGCACCCCTGCCTGTATTGAAGTTAAAACCTTTAAGGAAAAGGGAAGAAAGGAGGAAGGGATCCTAAGAAGTCCCATGTGCATGTGTGGGGGCAGGGTTGTCCAGGGAGGACCGTGGCCCATGTGAGCTGTGCCCTGGCCACAGCCAAGATATTGCTAACACAGCTTCTGATCCTGGGCCTGAGGCCTGCCCGTGGGACATGGAGAGGAGAAACATCTACTGGCACTTTCTACTAAACTCTCTCTCTCTCTCTCTCTCTCTCTCTCTCTCTCTCTCTCTCTCTCTCTCTCTGGGTATGGTGGCAAAGTCTTTAATCCCAGCACTCTGGGAGGCAGAGGCAAGGGGATCACCATAAATTCAAGCTCAGCCTGATCTACAGAGGGAGTTCCAGGCCAATCAGGACTACAGAGTGAGACCTTGTCTCAAAACTAAAACAAAAAAAGACTCTCAAAGTCAAGTGCACATTGATGGCGGAGTCGAGCCCCTTGGATGTCTTCATGGCTCCTCTAGGCCATATATAGTGCAATTGTATTTACGTTTGGGGATCGTCTTCCCAGTTTGCAGCTGATTCTTCCAACACAGGAGGTGAAGAGATTGTAATACTGCTTGCCTACAGAGAAGTCAAGGCTCAGAGAAACCGAGGCACTTACCCGACTACTATCCAGCTACTAGGAGGCCTGGCTAGTATCACATAACCTGACGGGGCAAGTCGAGGCAATTCCCATACTATCTCTCTGGCCTCTGTTTTGGCCACTTGTGACCACCTGAGGGGATGAGGGGATTCCACAGTACCAACCACAGGGAAGCAGGTAGGTACAGGGAAGACTGTAGATTCTGAGATGAGTCGGTTAAAGGAGAGAAGATGATGCTGAGAGAAGGCAGTGAGATGCTCAGAAGGGAAAGGTGCCTGCTGCCAAACCTGATGACCAGAGGTCAGCCCCTGGGACGCACAGGATGGAAGGAAAGAGAGAACTCCTACAAGCTGTTTTATGACCTTGATACACACACACACACACATACTTGCACACATACACACACTGTGACAAGCACATACCCACACACATACACATACATATATATTTATTTATAAGTAAATGTAAAATATCCTTAAAAAAAAAAAACAGGTTCCCCACATAGCAGCTATGCCTCAATGTCATCAATTGATGAGGAAAACAGAAAAGGGCCAGGAATCAGCCTGCTCCCTGCTCAGCATACAGGAAGTTGGGCCTCTCCTTCCTGCCCCGGAAAGACACTGAACCACTCAGGATTTGCTTTCAATGATTACGTTACCCATTAGTACCTCAGTGACGATGGAGGAGCCGGGAGTGTCGTACACCCAGCCATGCTCGCAGGGGCTCAGGGGCAACTGGCTCCTGTTGGCAGCCAGGCTGGACAGTGGGTCCACACAGCCAAGGGTGCTCTGGTTCCAGTCCACCTCGTACCTCATGCACTGGCTGAGGAAGGAGGCCTCACCCACAGACCCCAGGCCCGGCACAGTGTAGTTCAGCTCCTCTGCTGGGCTCCAGCCACACCGCTGGCTCAGCTCGGTCACTCCAGGACTCCAGCAGTGGTGGTCAGGGGTAAATCCCAGGAAAACGATGCCCACATAGATGGGGGCTAAAGAAGCTGAGATAAGGCATAGCAACAGGAAGGCTTGCTTCTGGAACCAGCCAAACTCTCCAACTTGCTCCAGGACATCATCCACGGTGGGCATGGCTGGGTAGGGCCTGCTATGGACTGCCACTGGGGGTGCATGCAGTGTCTCATTTAAAGTTCTTGGAACTGCGGTGGCTTCAAATCAAGCTGCTGTTCAAGCATCTGGAAGGCAACCAACCAGAAGTAACCTTTTGCCCCATGATACCAGTGTGAGGGCCAGGGAATACACTAGGCTCACCTGAAGCCTTGTTTGCTTTTCTGGGAAGTGAGCCAAAGCTCTGGCCTGGGAGAAGGAAGCAGGCAAACTGGCTTGAGTGTGCAAAATCTGACACACACGCGCACACACACACACACACACACACACACACACACATATATATATATAATCTCTCGGGACCTTCTAAAGAACATTTCTATCACTGAGTCTTCTGTGGGCTAGCTATGACAGCTTGCCTGGTGTGTATGAAGCTCTGGGTTCAATCCCCAGCAGCACACAAACCAGACATGGTAGTTCACACCTTAATTCCAGCAGCCAGGAGGTGAAGGCAGAGGTATCTGAAGTTTAAGGTCGTTCTCGGCTACGTAGCCAAGTCTGGGATCAGCCTGGGCTACATGAGATCTAGTCTCAAAAGCTAAGATACTCATGACCATCATTTTGCGGGGATGGCAGGCCACTGTTAGGTAGTCTTGAGCAAGACCCGTGATTATAATAGACCAAATGGCAAATGCCAAGGACGTGCCTCTGTGGTCACCCCACACGGATTGGCTAGTCCGCCTTCTAGGATTCACTTTCCTTTGTGGGTCTGATGGAGCAAGCGGCCTTGCTGAGAAGCCCAGGCAGCAAGGAGGTAAGGACTCAGGAAACACAGATGGTGACCAATGAGCAGCTGAGACCCTCAGCCCTCAACCACAGGGCCTGAATCCCGCCAGCAGTCGGGTCCGCTCAGCACTCATCCCCCTTTAAACAAGCCTTGTCATTAGGCTTGTCCCAGAGTCTTTAAAAGTTCAAGCACTTGAAAGTTCAGCCTCTTTAAAATATCCAGTCTCTCTTAAAAATCCAATGTCTCTCCACTGTAGGCTCCAATAATTTTTTTTTTAATGAGTTAAATACTTTCTTACTTCAAGAGGGAAGAACCAGGGCACAGTCACAGTCTGAATAAATCAAAACCAAACTCCACCTGTAAATAAGTCAGTGTCAAATGTCTGAAATCCACTCATGATCTTCTGGACTCTTCCAAAGAACTTGGATCAATTCTCTGGCTCTACCCACGGCAGCACATACTGCCCCAGCTGGCTCCACTCCACTTCTGCAGCTGTCCTTTGTCATCCCAAGGTCCTGGCATCTCCAAAGCACTGAGGTCTCCTGCTACAACTGGGGTTTTCCTGGACTCTTCTTCATGGTGCCGCACCTCAACTTCTCTGCATGGCCCCTTCAATTCTAGGGCATCAACTGCTACTGAGGCTGTACCTTCACCATCTGCCTCTCCTGGCCTTTCACAGTGCCATGCCTCAACTGCTCTCCGTGACCCCTTCATGCCTTCAAAACCAGTACTATCTGGGTGATGCCTGCTACGACTATATTGTACTTGAATATTGTTCTTGTTTCTTATATCACCAAGTTTGGCTCCCAGCACAAGGTATAACCTTGGCCACTTCTGGGACACAGCTTCTGTGTGTTGATTCTGAGGACACACATCTCAGAAGATTTCACCTCATTGATGCTCCGGTTAACCAACATCAAGTGTCCCAGCAAAGCAAAGGTTTTACCTTAGTGGTTCTGGTCTCTTGCTAATCACAGCAGATTTATCGGCCCCAGCTGAGCAGAACCACAAATTATTAACTCAAAGAGGCCAGTAGAATCTTTGCTTCACTCTGAAACTTCCCAAGCCAGGCCTGCATCCTCCGCACTGCTCTCAACATTCCTAACTTCCAAGCTCCCACAGAACAGCCCACTCAGTGCTCAACCCTCAACAAAGCTCCAAAGCTCTTCCACAATCCTCCCAAAACCATGTTCAGGTCTGTCACTGCAATACCCTACTATCCTGGTACCAACTTGTATTAGTTAGGGTTACTATTGCTGCAAAGAAACACCATTCATGCCCCCCCCCCCAAAAAAAAAGTTGAAGAGGAAAGAGTTTATTTGTCTTACGCTTCCACATCCATAGTCCATCACTAAAGGAAGTTAAGACAAGAATTCAAACAGGACAGGAACCTAGAGGCAGAAGCTGATGTTGAGGCCATAGAGAAATGCTGATTAGTAACTTGCTCAATATGGTTTGCTCGGTCTGCTTTCTTGTAGAATCCAGGACCACTAGCCTTTAGTGGCCACACTCACAATGGGCTGAGCCCTCCAACATCATTCACTAATTAAGAAAATGTGATACAGGCTTGCCTAAAGCCTGGTATTATGCAGGCAATTTTTTTCTCAAGGGAGGCTCTGTCCTCTCAGATGACTCCAGCTTGCGTCAAGTTGATATGAAATTAACCAGCATACATTATTCAAAGTGTGTAACTTACAAGACTAGAAGGCTAACTAAAGCTTAGGGTTGGGGATGTGCCTCAGCTGGTTGAGAGCTTGCAGAGGATTTGGGGAGTCATGGGTTCAATGCCCGGTACCTCACAAACTAAGGGTGGCAATCCCAGAACTGAGAGGTGGAGATGGAGGCAGGATGATCAGAAATTCAAAGTCATCTGCTACCAGGTCTGAGGCCAACCTGGGGTATGTACATAAGGCTTCGCCTCAAAAAGAGAAAACCGATTAAACAAAGCTTAAAATGTAAGTAAAGTTTAAAAATCGTGTGTGTGTGTGTGTGTGTGTGTGTGTGTATACATACATACATACATACATACATACATGCCATACACATACATTTTGGACTCTAGGAGGGCACATGACAGTAGGAACAGGCCCTTGTGATGGTTTAAGTGAGAAACGCCACCATAGGTTCATGTTTTTGAATGATTGGTCTGTGGCCTCTCCCAGTGCTGCTGGTCTGTGACCAGTCATGGCCTCTCCCTCAGCCTTTGACTTCACTAGAGTCTTAGGTGCTCTGTTCATCTCCGAACTGCACATCTTTCCTTTCTTTCAGCCCCACTTGTTGCTCTTGTTTCTGTCTGTGGAGCTGCAGGAGGATCATCGATCGGTAACAGCCAAGCCACAGACTCAGCGCTATGCTACCCTGAAATTCCCTCTGTCGAAGAGATCTGTCCATTGCTTGCTCACTCGGCTCCATCTCAGTTCTCAGAACATGGGTAGGGTGCAGCCAGATTCTTTACCAAAATATCATAGGAATGGTTTCTAGAACATTCCTTTCCCCACTCTGCAATCTCGTGAAAGCTCTATTGTCTGCACTACTGTCTTCCAGGCTTCGACTACAAAG